CATTTAAAAAAATTGATTTGGCACCTGTGCAAGGAAGTACCAGTATTATTCCTCTGGACCAGTGAAGGTTATTGGACTACAGGTTGGGATCCCTTGGCTTAGTGCTGTATATGAACCTAGCCATTTTTTTCTTGATCAGTCTCTTCCACTGAAATGCTGCACTGGATATTTTATTGCTCCAACAGTAAGTCTTGCTCAGGAGTAGCACCACATGACTGCAACCCCCATCTGCTACAGTGATACTGTGCTAGCTCAAATTTTTACTAATCTCAAGGTTCACTAGATGAAGCAAAGCAATTAATTAACATGCAACAATATTTTATGTTTTGAAAATAAATCCTCATCCTGCCCTCCAGGCCTGCTCCAATGGCAATTATAGACATTTCAAAAATTTTGTTTCACTTTTGCAGTAGAATGATTCTTTCTGCCCTGGTGGATTGCAATTTTTTTTTTTTTTGAAATTGCTGTTCAACAGCGGGTGAACTTTGTATCTGACAGAACTATTGGATAGAATTTTCTTGTCAAAACGATCCATGTGCAATTACATGGCTCCTTTTCTTCCACCTCATTTCTTCTAAAGCTATTGATCTGCTGCTCTTATATACCATGTTACAAATCACCAAAAGCAAAGCTCCTAATAAATTTGCCACAAGACCAGTATCAAATTTGTGACAAGGGAAGTGTGCCATTTTTCTGCTTGGTGGATTTTGTACTTAAAAAGAAAGTGAAAATTTGACATAAATGTGCAGATAAGCAGAGAAAGGAAGAAATAGCCAGCTCTAAAAGGCTCTAAAAGGCTACTCATGCTTGAAATCAGTGCAATTGATTTTATCAAGTTTGCTGTCAAAACCTACTTTGGGTTCCCCAAATCCTTGGCCTCTGAATTATTTCCTTAAGTAACAATGCTTGCTGGACCCAACATGCTATGCTTCTTGATATGATATATTGATTATAAGATTCATGAATTTGGAATGTACAGTATGTGTGTGTGTGTATATATACACATACACACATGGTGGAATGAAGGGAAAGAGAGAAAAATCACTCAGATTATTAGGAGTTTGGGTCAAGGAATAATTTAAATAGATTTCATTGGATCTTCTCTAAATATGACTCTGAATCAAACACATTATCTTTCTTGCACTTGGGATAAAGTGAATAACCACATTTATCTATAAAGAAATTAGAAAATGTGCAGTTATACATGGAAGTTCACCTGTGATTATGAAGCTATTCCACAAAGAATATAATGATATGTAAAATTCTCTCAACGTATTACATATGTCTTTATTTGAACACTTCATCACATAACCCAAAGCAGAAGTTAGAGTGCTGAAGATCTGAAGAGTTTAATCTGTTCTGGTGAAAACCATGTACCTACGTGTTCCTACAGAAGAAAAAGTGATGATTTAAGATACTGGAGTAAGTTAGCATCCAGTCTTTCTATCTTTAATGAAAACAGCAAACATGCACTGAGCATATATTCAGCTTCTTTTCCAAGAGCTCCAGGTGGTTTACATAAGAATCTCCCCTCATACAGGTGACAGTGGGGTTGAAATTACATGACAACAGTTTTTTTTATTGTGGAATATGAGCTTTCTTTTATCTGTAGTCTCTGCAGCTGCTTATCTTTTATTTCTGTTCAGGATGTGGACTTGTCTTCTTCCCTGCAGTAGCCATACTTTCTGTTGTCAGTGCTTTGGGGATGGCGCACCATGAGTATACTGCCTTATATACATAGAAGAAATTCTTCCAAGGGTTGGCATGTATACAGAACTTTTTCTGTGCTTCTTCAATGTGCAGATAGCATGAATAGATCTATCTGACGGGTTAGCAAGGACCGGTCTAAACTTTGTGGCCCTGTGTTACACTCTCACAGAGTGTCCTCTGACCTCTCATCTTCCAATATACAACAAAAAGTAGAGGCACAAACATTTTGTGTACATCATTTTTTCCATTTCTATCAGATTTCATTTTTAAAGTCATCTTTTCATTTTTAAACATTTTTTCATTTTATTTTCTAATCCATTAATAGATATATGCTCATAATACATTTTTCTCATATAGTTTCAGAAGAGAAATATCTGGTATCTGTCTAACTATCTAATCTATCTCGATCTTTTCCCAGAGTTTTGAAATTCTTAGATGGTAGATATCTTATACTTGGGCTCTTTGAGAAAGGGATAAAATCTTACAAATCTGCATTGTTTCCCTTGTATTTTTCTAATGGTCTTAATTTCCTTCCAACATCTAAATTCTCTTGAACTAGATCTTTCAAGAAACCTTCCTCACATACTTCCTGTATTGGGCTATAATGTCTCTTACTGCTATTAATAATAATAAAAATGTTTTGCATCTTAAATATTTATTCTGTACACTAATAATTTTAGAAGTCCCAGTAGTTGCATTTGTTTTATAGGTTGTTTTCTTATCAGTCCTATCTCTATTAGGATTTCTGACCAACATTTCTGTACTATGTTACAAAACTACCATAAATCAGTAAATGTTCCTCAATCCTTACATCTGTTCCAACATAAAAGTAAGTAACTATGTGTCATACTAGAAAATATTTAGGGATAACATCTGGGGGAGATGGGTGGCATATAAATTGAATAATAAAATAAAATAAATAAAAATAAATAAATATTTTAAGGTGTATAGTATTTCTTGTATTTTTTGTTGATTATGAAAACAATCTTTTTTTCAGTGTGACTTTTTTATTTTCTATCACAGTATATTTGTTATGCAGGACAATTAATGGTGAAATTTTAATCAGTTCCAGAACCAAAACCAATATTTTTTTAATGAAATCACAGTGTAATCACAAAGTTGGGGGGTGACCTATTTAGGTCTCTGACTAAAGAATCTAGTTATGGGCCAGATTTGGAACAGGACATTTCTCTTCAAACCTTGAATGCCTTTGGGGTTTACACAAACATTGTATATATACTTAATATAAAAAATAGAAGAGCTCATTTTCCTAAGATAGCCTTTGATAGAAATATAAAATGAATTCTAAGTTAAACAAAGCCAGCTCAATAACAAAAATTCAGTTAAAAAGAATATGTCATAACAAGGCTTTACGAAGAACAAAAACGCTATGATCTCAAAACACAAATCCTATCCATTCTCACCACTTTATGTACTTCAGAGAGCATCTGTATGCAACTTCTTAAAGCAGCCATAACTTTTCCTGGGATTGTATAGCTGCTTGCTTCAGCATTGATCCCAGGAAAAAGATGCACTTGAAGCATTTTTTTTGGCCTTTGAATCCAAAGCATTGTACAGTCCTAATTTATACAGGATTTAAACTGCTGAGCCCTTGTCCTGGAGAAAAAATGCAGCTGCTTTAAAGGTTGCAGGCAAGTGCTACAAGAGCATAGGAAGCTTTCTTCTATGTCTTTCATCTCAGATTATTTTACCAGCCGCAGTGCTAGTTAAGGGTTAGGGAACCTGTGGATTTCCAGATGCTGACTCCAAACTTACTGGCTTCCCCAAGCTTATTGTGATCAAAGATGTTGCAACTGTAATCCAACTATTTCTGATTAAACACCAGTTTCCAGCATAGAATGGAACATCCTGACATGTACTAAATGTCCATATCTTGTGTAGGCAATGAACTTCCCCTCAGATCTTGTTGTATCCCTCATAGACTTAGTCAGCTTGGCCAGTGAAAAGTAGTAATAGTCATCCAACATCTGGAAGGCCACACATTCATGACAAATGACTGCTTTTTGGAGGGGGGGCTGTTTCTTAAAGTAGCAGGGCTACAAATCAGAAACATGGCTTCTAAGCCCAGCTGTTTCCTTTTAAGAATTATTCACTAGTCATTTTATTCATGAGCTTGGGAAATTATCATTTGTTTCTTATGCAGAACGTGAAAAATGTGTAATCAATTTGAAGCATTATATCGAATTGAGAAATTATGTGTGCTAGTCAGGACAGCTGTACAGTACTTTGGATTCAAAGGCAAAAAGGTACTTTGGAGCAATCCGGTCAGGAGACATGAATGTAGGATCTATCTGCAACTTCTTAAAGCAGCTGTGATTTTCCTGGGTAGTTCTAGTAGAATTTGGCCAGAGTTTAGGATTGTGGCTCATGTCTTTTCACTAATAAAGCCTTTCAAACTGTTTAAAATTGCTTAACTGGACATCCTATCAGCAATATTAAAGAGGGAAAAGTTAAATAATTTTTTTAAAAAAAACCTCTATTCACTCTTGCTTTCTCAAGACATATATCAAGTTATTTCTCCTTATATCTTCAGTTCTCTGAGTACAGCAACCAGGACCCCCTTTGCTTCCCTTTTTTAATCAAGAATTGCCATCCCGCCTAAGAGGAATCTTTTATATGGAAGATTATTTTTGTTAGTCATACACTCCAAAATGCCTGGTTTCATTTAACTTCAGTTAAATGGTATTATTTAGAGAGCGCATTCCTGAATTTGTCATATCAATGTGAGAAGAAAGGTAAATCTTACTTGAAATGTTAATGGTTTACAGTGCTGAAAAAAATGAGAATTGTCTTATTGCTGCTGTTGTCACTCACTGTTTTTTTTAGCTTAGTTGAAATAATACAGCTTTCTAAAAGATGTGTTGAGATGTCCTGCTTGTTAATTACTTTGATACAGTATTCCTGATATTGAAGGGCTATCATGACAGATTATCATCAGAAAGGTTGTTTCCTAACTTAGATAACACCCCAGATGTCAGCACAGATCTACAGTCACTTTTCAACTGATTTATAGCCTAGAGAAGATTCTATCATTTTGATCATTAGCATCATTTTTTATCAACAGTTTCAGAAATCCATATACTTATGGATGTTTACTCAGGAATAAATGCCATTGTACTTAACAGAGTTTACACCTGGTCAGTATGTGTATTGGAAGTCAGCCTGAAGTTATTTCGGGTCCTCGTTAACTTCCACCACTAATATTTTTCAGGAGGAACCACTAAAGAGAATTAATGCATTAATCAGAGGAAAATATTTATTTACAGGAATGTAAAATTTATGTTACAGCATTTGGAACAAAATTGCATTGAATGTTGACACAGAACCAATATGTTCAGAGGATGAATGCAAATAAAAATTCTGTCCTATTATTTAAAACCACCATGGCTTTTAAAAATGGCTGTAGAGTTACCTTATGGGTGTGCCATGTTTCGGACTTAGTTCAAATGAAGTATTGTGGAATTTGTGGGAGCTGAAACCAGCACCTCTCTGTGACTCATTAAAGCAGCTGTGTTTTCACTGTTTCATGTTCTGAAGAACTCCTTCCAAATCAAATTGCCCAATGGTATATTTTATACAAGTAATACTTTCCATGGTCTTAAGAATCTGTTCCCATTCCTTAGAAGAATTGTTGTAAACCAAAAATGCAATACCACTTAATGCATACATTCAAAAAGAGGGGGAAATGTCCCTATTGTAATAGATATCAACATTCCATCTCCTTTCTGGATTAATTTGTCTTGTGTGCAAAGATATGTGGGTGCAGTGCTTCCAGCAAAAGGATGCTGAATCAAGCCCTGCATATTTTCCTCCTCCTCTTGATTACTTTTTATAATCACTGCATGGGCTTAGGAAAAAAGAATTTATACTAAAAATAGACTGCCTTTATGAAAACATTGTAATAATGCAACAGACAGGAGAACACATGAAGGAGCTATATGTTCAAATAGACCATGTGCTTTGCATACAGAAAGTTCCAGTTGAGTTTCTGGCGTCTGTGGTCAAAAGGATCTTAGGCAATAGTCCTCTGCCCAAGGCCACAGCCAGTAAGGGCAGACAATACCTGGTTACATGAACTGATGCTTTGATTTAGCAGATGGCAGCTTCACATATTATTCACAGATTTAACTGAGCAACAGGCTGTTCTTTTCCTGCACCTTTTAATCTGGGGATACTGTATTCAAAGCTGCTTTACAGGTAGCATACTGCATATTCCTGCCTGAATCTTTATGGATGCAAATTGTAGGAGTCACATGCAAGCAACTGAGGCACTGTACAATTGATCTCTCGCTCTGGATAATTCATGAATTGTACATGTAAAATGATGTAGCAATAAATTCATGAAAGCCGTGCTTCCTAAATGAAGACTGAAGAAGTATTTGTAAAAATACTAAGCAATAGCCTTCAAGCCCTTTGAAGAGGTTTTGGGGAAGGGGCACGCACCCATTCAGTGAACACACACAGTTTGCCTTGCCTTGCCACAGCCATATGCATCTTCCATTTCACTATAAATGTAGATGTTATTGAAGGTCTGACAATTCCTCTGGGCCCTCGGAAAGGCACCTGAATTTGGTAATGCTGTTCTACAAATTAAGTTGCCGAAGAATACCCTTACATAAAAGTTTGGTATCTTGTCTCTGCTGTGACTTACAGCTGAACTAAGAAACTACGAGCCACTTTTGTTTTCAGAATTGCCAAGACATCAGTTCTTCCACTTCAGAAGGAGCAGCTGCTGAAGAAAGTAAATGTATTTGTGCATATGTGCTATTCATATACACTCAATCGTTATCCATGCATTCTGCTTCTGTGGATTTGCTTATACACTTCTATAAAAGTGTAACCCATTTTTCTTCATATGTGGTCTCAATGTGGCCATGCGCTGTAGAGAAAAAAGTCTCTACATTGTTCTGATAACAGGTCACGTGACAGCACTAGGAACAATGCTTCAATAACCATGGTTTCCATTTCCATTTTTCAAGAACGTAACCCCTGCGTATAACGAGGATTGAGTGTAGATAAATTCATAAGGGTATTTTGAGGGGGGGGGAAGGAGGGAGGGGATCAGCTTACCTAGAATCATAAAACTGATTAATGTGGACTCATTTGTGGAAACAATCCAGTTTCAAACCTCATTCTGTGAGCAAGAGTGAAAAACAAGGGCAATTGGAATACCTTTTGTATGTTATTGAGAGGAAAGAGATGATGTATCTATGGTACTTCACTGTTGGGCTACTGTATGGGACAGCACTCCCATCATTTGGCAAATTAACCCCAGACAAATTGATGCACCTGTCTGTCTGCCTGTCTGTCAGGTTAAAATTGGTTAAAACCAGAACCTCCAGTCATGTGAGTGAAGAGCTCAAATAAAGGCAATTCAGTGGAATAGAAAGCAGATATGCATCAAACATGCCAACTTTACAACATGGCAACACTCATAGAAGGATTAAGAGAGTTTTGAACCATACTGATCTATATCCTATCCAAAATGTGCTTATCTGAAGCTAAGAGTAGCAAGATAAGGGTTGGGGTATATTGACATTAATGATTGTTTTCTATTGATATCACTGGAAACTGTGCACAGAACATATGCAAATTATATCCATTTTAGTGTGATGATGCACTGAAAAAACTTCAAAGACAAATTATTAATTTGTCCTTTTCTATAACCCCACTAATGTATGTATTTGCTTTAAAACAGGAATAAAAATAATTAAAATATATATTGGCTCATAAATCTTTGATGATCTCTTTTCATTATGCTGTAAACATTTAAGTGCAATATCACCTGACTGTAAATATGATGAACCATAAAACATGCTAATCATAAAAATAGCTTTTACAAATATACATTTGTGTACAGTATTTCTTTCATTTTAAATATGTCCTTCATATTATCATACAAGTCATTGGCTATCTGACATCAAAATTTAAAAAAAAAATACCAGTGATTAGCCAGGAGAAACACATTTACAGTCTAAACCATAAAAATATGACAATTGTGTAGTTTTAAACACATAAGAAATGGAATTTCTAAGCTGTGAATGGTGATGTCCATTTCCAAAAGGAAATTCAGCTCTTCATACAAATTGAGTCAAAGATGCTTTGAGCTGACAAGAAACTGTAGTTTACATTTTCACACAGGGAAGTCTATGAATTATCTTCTCAGCTTCCAAAAGGATTGTGTTCATTTGATCTGTAAAAACTATAACATAAAATATAGTTGTGTTTGAAAACATTTTGAAGAAGATATAATGACAGATGAAATTAATATGACAATTTTTATTTTATAGAAAGCAGTTCACTTGGATCAGTATTGTGGCATGATAAATATTAACCCTTTCTCCAATGCAAATTTACTCACCTGAATTGATATGAGCCATGCAAGAACTTATAATTCTCCAGTCTTTCTTCAGCACTGACTATATAGCCAAGTGCTCTTAATGATGCAAAGCTGTGAAGTTTCTTATTCTTGTTCCAAATTAAAAATAAATAGAAATTTGACCCATTTTCCTAATCTGGTTCATCTACACAGTGACACTAATGCAGGGGTTCCCAACCTGGGGTGCCTGCAGCCCCAGGAGATGCAAGATGGAGTTTCAGGGGATGTGACAATTTTATGCACTGAGTTAAAAGCTTATTTTTTTTAAGTTCAATTTGTTCACCCACATTAGAAATTAGACTTCTTCATCTTCAAATATGATACTACTTTTGTAGGGGGTGTGAACATTCATCAAACATTTCCTAGGGGTGTGGGGCATAGAAAAGGTTGGGAACTACTGCACTAATGGATTGCCTGGGTGATAAACACTTGACCATTAATTACCAATGTCAAAGTACTTTAAGTTCAACAGCTATACAAAACCTCTCTGTTTCTTAAAGTACTCTGTGAAGAACAAAATGGAAGTGCAGAAATTAGGTTCCTGTTCAATCATGGCACAGACTGACCAAGTAATCTTTGAAGGGTAGTGATAGGGTCATGTCATTAGAGGTATCAATATTTTCTACATGTTGTGTAAAGGTCAACAAGTCTGTAGAACTACTTTCATACAATTCTTATAAACAAGGTCACTTTGAAAACTCTTATCTGCAAATCCTTTCCATTATTTTTAGTACCAGACTGACAGAATAGCCTAGAAGAGGCATATTTTCTCCTCCTTCAGTTTCTCTCCTGCATCAGAGGCAGCCCAGAAGATGGTTAATTAGCTCTATAGCTCTTCTGAGAATAAAAGCAGTGTACTCTCTCATCTTGCAGAGTTTTTATTTTTTGTTTTTCCTTGTTCTCTTGCTTGACTTTTCTTCTATTATATAAAAATCAAAAGCCAGAGATTACTGAAGATATGTTCTTAGCTCATTATGAGTACTGAAAAGCTTCCTTGTGTTATGATTAAGAGCATTGTAAATCATCTATGTCGAAAGATTCCTGCTTTGCTGTTACTTAAGAACTGAGATGGGCAATGAGAATCTCAATAACAAGCAGAAAGGACAATTTGCAATGGTCTCAGACTTATTTTAATGAAATGGAAAGGAAGTTCGTATCAAAAGATGACAAACAGTATGACTGGTAATGCCATTATTAGCAACATTCTCAGTCTAAAGCTCTCCAGTAAATTCATACTAACATTCCCAGCAATCTCAAACAGCAAAATGAACGATACAAATGATAGAAGCAGGACTCCAACACATCTGGAGGCCCTAAGAGTAGACAAATTTTCTTCATTAAATTTATGCTTAAGTTTCATCACTGTATGCCAGCCTCCAACTTTCTAAAGGCATGGTAAACTTGAAACATCTATTTTTTAATTCATTCCTTTCATCTAAACTGTTTAAAATTAATTATTGGCTTTCTGGCAGTTGGGAATGATAAAATCTGAATACAGTTTTATTTACAGGATCTGTAATCATGGGGAAAAGTTCTGTTCAAAAAAATATGAGAAGAACCCTTGGCAGAACCTTTTGCTCAATATGGCAAACTTGACTGGATGGGACAATCACATAAAATAACTTAGGAAGCAAGGCTGGTTTAAGCTGTGCCATCACTCTACTGACACTTCAGGCAGATCTGAAGAAGATGAGACTCTAGTCCTATTTTGATATTCTCTCTTTGTAAAGTTAGAGAAAGAGATGACCACACAAGTAACCCTTCATGAGATGGAAACTGTCTGTGTGGACACCCTACTTTACTTGTGTAAACTTCTTTCACAACTGAAAAACCTAACTTTTCAGGATTCAGAACTGCATGAAGACCATGCAGTTTAACGCTCCAATGTGTGGAGAATTGACAATTTATTTAAGAGGAATGAATGACAGAACATGGTCTCAGGCGGATTAATCCTAGTTTTTCCTTGAGACTCTGGTCACGATGAGAGTTCGTAGCTGGATGAAAGGTCCAAACCATTTCTTGCCAATGTGCAGTTAGAGAGATGCCTTGTGATATTCACCCAGAAGAAACAATAGTTCCAGTTAGCTATGAAAGTTGACAGATATTGATAGTTGTGGGCCACTGCACAAATCTTGGGCCACTGAAACCCGACTAGGGGTTTTTGATGAATCCATGTACTGGGGCTTTGCTTGTAATTTTTATGCAAAATATGATGTAGCCTAATTCTTTCATCCAGGAAAAGCTGTTCCTGAGTGAAAAGCTAAGTATTCATATGAGAACAAATAAATTTTATAACAGAAAGGTACTGAATGGTGGGGAAAGATTTCAAGTTCATTATATTCATTAAAAAAAATAGAGGGGTTTTGAACATGAGAAGAAAGCAATTAAATCCAGCATTATGCCTGAAAAGTCTTTTCCAGAGTAAAGGACAGCTGAAATAAATGAGTTGACAATTTGTTTGTCAGTTCATTTATACAAAATGGAGACAATATTCTACTGTAGTTGAGTGCAATACTGGCTATATCAAGCACAGAAAGTTTGATTTTCATTTTTGTAACAATTTTTTAGCAGTTATAGTTTATTAGAAATGTGATACCTTCAGAAAGTCCAACACCACAATACTTTCCAAGTGCTCAAAAATTGATTTAAAAAATTGGTTCTATTGATATTTACCCAGTGAAAAAAAATTACAGCAGTGGGTCTCAGACCATGAGTTTGAATTACTCTAACAATAGTTCCACACAGGAAGGCGAATTCATTTAATTCACAGTTGAACACATTTTCAGAACAACAAGCAGACAGAATCATTCCACCTTTATGGTTATACAAATTGTGTATGGCAACTGCATTTTTTCCTGCACCTGCCATACAGTTCTGGGAAAAGATATATTTGATACATATATAGAAAAGGTCTGCACAAAACCATTAAAACTGGGAGAAAACAATATACTCATCTGCAGTTCCATGATATTCAGGCATAAATCTGATTGAATTCAGTAGGTGTTACTCCTATGTAGCATTTCACCTTTGCTGTGCTATTTTTTCAACAGTTTTCAAAATTCAGGTGTACTCAAAGTGACAGAAACACTTATTCTCAAATTCTTGAACAACGCTATTATTTACAACATCATATCCAAAATACTGGTGAGATCACAAGCTCCAGCCACCCTAAAGAGTTTTGAATTATTATATGATAAAGTTTCTTTGGAACTGAAATACCTCAGGCTGTTATGAGAGCAAGCATTTTTTTTTTTCACTTTTCAAAAAACGAATTAAAAACTTTTCCTCTCATATGTTTTCATTTTTGTTTTGTTTTTTAAACATAGAATACACAATCCTTCAACTGGGGCTGGATAGTGTATTTATCAAACAGCTCTCTCAAGCTTTCAAGTGTTTAATTCATCCTTAAAAGGTACTATTGACAGTGCTGGAAATGCGGCTTAGTCAGTTACATACATTGAACCCGAAATAGAAGAATTGGGTTGCTGATGTCTTATTCAAAGAAAAGTGATTTCCCTTCTGATGAACTACATTTAGAATATGGAACTTCTGGGCTTCCAGGGGAAGATGGCGGACTGAAGACAGCTCTACCAACAAGTGACATTTACAGCATTTTACAAGGGAGCTGAAGCAGATTGGCTTCTACGATCCTCTCTGGATCAAAGAGAGAGACATGAGACTACAAGACAGTGATCAAAGGGGGGGGGAATCAGGAAATGGGGGAATTCTCTGTAATTGCTCAAGCTGCAGACGGAGCCTTTTCAAAGGACACTAAATTCATACATTTCCCTTGCTAACTACCTTCTAATAGCCTATTAACTGAAGCCTGCAGGGTGACAAGGCTGGAAATACCGGGTGAGTGAGTGTTTTCAATCCTCAATATAAGAATATGTAAATCTATTTTTTATAATCTTTAAGAACTTAAAATAAACACCAAAAAGTAAGACAAGGTTTTGGCTACAGAAAGTTTTAAGGGCTCAGAAAATGTTGGAGCTTTGGACTTAGAATATTAAGACTCTGAAATTACTATTTTTTTTTTTTAATGAATGTATTTCTTTGGGAAAGAAAAATTGTTTTTGAGATTGAAGTTATAAGGCAAGCAACTTATAATGGCATTTAGAGACATCTTTGAAGAACTGCGTAGAGACCTGCATCAGCTATGTTGTGCCTTTCTGAGAACAGTTTGTTTCTAGATGAAGTTGTTACAGAACAAGATATGCAGCAAAATTTACTTGAGGAAAATATGAATGAAATTTTGAATAAGAATCTTTCACCAGATATAGAGAGAAAACTGGATGAGGTTTTAAAAAACAAGAAGGAAATAAAGATGATAATCCCAAATTGGAATTGGAATTCCAAACAATTGGAATAATTTCCTTTTGTTGGATTTACAAAAAAGACTAAAATGCTAAAAAAATTGTAACAAGGATCAACAGTCATCTGAATGGATTACAGAGAAAGACTGCCCTGTATAGAAATAAAAAGGACTATCAAGTCAGTTTATTCAACCAGGGATAAAATGGGATGTTATTCTGGCTGGTTCTTTCTGGATTTATTGATATCTTAATTAGAAAAATGTGGTGTACTAGATCTGCTTACATTTAATATGATGTAAAAGTCTTTTCCCCTATACTTACTTTATGTAATCCTAATTTTATAATAGAGACAGCCCTCTACTTATGAACAGGTTATGTTCCAAGAGGCTGTTCATAGGTCCATTTTGTTCATAAGTCCAACCACGTGTACGTATGCTGCATGCCGTAAACTTCTGGGCGCTTGTATGTGGCACGCCATAAATGTCCGGGACCTTCATTGTTGGAGTT